TGTCGAATATTAAATTTTGAAAAGGAAGGTGCAGGCGAGATGGCCTATATGGTCATTACAATCGTTATTGTGGAAGTGAGGCCTGGTGGTGGGGCGAGGGCGCGTCCCGAGTGCGGGTATGGAGTCGCGACTTGGAGTGATGGATGAGCTTCTGCAGAGCACTTAGCCTGGAGCTGACGAGCGAGGGAGGCACGCCGACCCCCAAAACTTAGCGCGTCGCTCTCATTGGTTGGCGCCACCCCTGTGCGCCGTGCGGGTGGCACCTTCCAAACCATGTCCGGCATATATCCAACAGTCATCTCTCTACACCAGACTTCAGCTGGTTTTGGCAACCTAGTGTTGATGTGTGCTTCTTATGTGATTTGGGACGTGATGGATATTATTGAACGCGATTCATCGCGCCACCATCTGCAAAATACATGTGCGAAACTCCTGCAGAGCCGCAACGGCAACGCATTCCTTCCAGTGCATGCTTCGGCGGACTAAGATCACAACGAACACTGCATTCAGAAGTTCACGGGTCAAATGGGACCTGACGCCAGATACAAACACTGTACATCTATCCAACTACCTGCCGTCGCTTGACTCACCCTTCATAACCTCCCAGTCATATTCAATTCTGGCGTTATATTGTGTGAAACAGAGAACATCACCATAGTTATACAAGGCCACGCATCCACGTCCGGTCTTCCGTCTAAGATAAGAAATGGAAAGGTTGACATTTACATTGTTGGAGAGGCGCACCATGGTATTCGATGTCAAAATGTGGGGGCGAGAACTTGGGGACAACGAATATGCGCAGCCTGATCTTCTGATCTCTACTTCTCATCGGGGTACATGGCCTCCTTGAGAGGAATGCCGAGCTCCTCGCGTATGGGCTCGAGCTCCTGGAGGTACTCTGCGTATTGACCCTTGTTCTCGACCTTGAACTTGATACCTGTGACGTATGTTAGTAATCAACGTCTCAAGGTTGGCCGGATGCCGAAGTAGCGTATTCCAGAGTCCGTATGGTTCCCTCTTGTGTAAAAAGAGACAGAACTGATATTGGGAACGTAGTAGAAGACGTACCCTCGAAAACCCGGACAGCTGAGGGGAAGTCGTTCACGCGCCTGGCAGCGCGGAGAGCGGCGGTGATGACGGTGGTTGAGGGAACGAGATCGTAGGCGAAGCAGTTGTTCAGGTTTCGCTGGCGATTGTCAGCCTATTGCCTCTGTTCGTGGCATCCTACAGTTGCCCAACCCGTGTCGGGTGAGATCGGTGGGGTCACATCGTGGAGACAACAACGTACCTGAAGCTCGAAAACGTCGTTGACCTTCTCGAATTCCTTCTCATATCTGTATCGAAGAAACACAAGTCAGCGATGGAGCTCCTGATATCATCAATGGCGCTCAATGGCTGTCCATGATGTCCACATGACTCCTGCCCGTCCGACTCTACAGCCCCTCCTCGGATTGGTCGTACCTGGCGGTGAATTCCTCGAATGTCTCCTCGGCATGCGCATCGCTCTTGCGGACGGCCGACTGCGAGAAAGCACGCTGGGTGTTCAACGCAACGGGGGTTGCTCGGTAGGCCGGGACTCGCACGCCCACTCGGCTGACCTTCGACGCGGCGCGGACGAAGGACATGTTGCGATTTGAAGAGCTACTGGCAAGCTACGGGAGGTGGATTCGGGGCTGCTGGGCGTGCGTAGCCGGCAGTGTGTCGATGAGTAGTGGTGTCGGTGGTGCGATTTCGCGTGAGGTTACGAAAACGAAAGCTCAGGCGATCTGAGTTGCGCCCAAGCCAAGCCGTCTTAAAAGTGGGTCGCACCCGTTCCTGAGACTGATGGCATAGTCGCATCGCCGCACATAATAATATAACTTATGGTTGATCTGGAAGCATTCATCATATTTTCATGTTCATTTGAGTTATCTACATGCGCGCTACATTGCCTTTCTAAGCAATGCACGCTATTGTCTTCCAATGTCACTGACTCACGCTCTGCCTCCAACTCTAGAAGGGATCAATGAAGCTTGATAAGAGAATAGCTACGAGCGCGAGAATGGAAACATTTTAGCTTCTATCCATAGATTCTCGCACTGTCGTATGGATTCTTCAAGATTTTTCATACCCTGTAATAACCGCCAAACGGGACTGGTCCCTCTGATGCTGCTCGGACAGACATGACTGGGCTGTCGCTGTCGTCATCCAGCTCTGAGCTGCCAGACAGATCATCGTTCCTGCCACCGGCCTGTATCTCTTCGTCTTCGTCTTCATCTGCCTCGCCATCTTGATCATCCTCGTCGTCCTCCGCATCCCCGATGTCAGCGTTCAGAAGAGTATCTGGCTGTACAGGATCTTCGGTCATGTCCTCCGGAACCTCGACATCGTCTGGCGCCTCATCTCCGTCAGCGTGGTTTTCAGGCTCATCAGTCTCCTCCATTTTCTCGAAGGCGTAGCGCGGATTTCTTGCAGCCCAACGCACGTTGTGCATCACTTGGTGTTCTCTCCTCTTCTCGTGGTGTATGTGACGGTCGTCGACTTCACTCTTGTACTGCGCTGCCATTTCCTTATCGTCCCACAGCTCAGGCCATTCAACGATACGCTGATATATGCTATCATCCGGTTTATCGCCGCCAATAATTGCGTTCATCTTGTCCTTCAAGATGACCGTTGCTTTGGCCCAAGTGCCAACGTGATACCACCCTTGGAAGGTGGGTGCACAGGTTGCTCGAATGTCCTTTGTAGCCAAAACTTTCGCAATGAGAGGATCGGTGATATCGCAGAACTGGAAGAGGTTGCCTGTTCGCGAAACATTGACGCCATCAAATGTGTGCTCAGTCTCCAACTCTTCCGGTGACATCTTTGCTAGCTTCAAGACATGCTGATCGAAGACCGCGCGGTGCTTTGATGTGCCGGACTTGATATAAGACAGGAAAGACACAGTCTGATATTTGCGATACTCAGGGTCTTTGCGAGGATCCACTCCCCAGCGGACAAGAGCCTCTCGCCAGGGCCCGCTTTCGAAGAAGAATCCGCAATAGATGGCTGCTTGCCGAAGCTTGGTTCGCTTGTCCCATCCCAGTCTGTTGTAAAGTAACTGCCGGGTTACTATGGGTCTCTGTAAGAGCAGAGTTCTAATGTTTGCGATCAGTGACTGCATATAGGGGGAAAGATCCCTCTCTGCTGGAAGACCGGGTCGGGGTCCTGTCGGTACATGTTCGTCTGTGGGTTTGACAATTGTGTATGCGTTGTAGGCGAGGCTCCTTTGTATGTTGACAACACCTTGATCGGTGTATTTGACGTTTGAGTTTTGCTGGAACCGATAGTTGAAGGCGATTGGCATCTGTATGAACTCTGGCGATGGCCCAACGCTTTTGGCCAGATCTGCACCGGCCGCAGTGTTGACATTATACTTCAACAACTGTTCGTCTAGGATGGGTCAGTGATATTCTCAGTATATTGGGATTAGTCTTACATCGTTTCGGCAGGACGTGGTCTCGCAGACCGACCATGGTCTCGTTGTGAGAAGCAGCATACTGCAAGTCGGGCATATCTGGAGAGTCAGTGATGGTTCTACAGAGTTCAAGAATATGCTCGACTCACTTCGGAACCGATGAGTTTCATCTACCACTCCGGCAAGAGCAACCTTGTACGTCGAGGCATTGTCTTGCAGGCTCCTGTATATGGTTGGTGCATCCACATATGTCTTGTTGGTCAAAGGGGTGCTATTCGATAAGCCAGCGCCACCACTGGCGATTTCATCTTCAGTAAGGAAGGGCCCTGTGGTTCCACGCTTTCGTTTGCGTCCTGTCCGTTTTGGCACCGTGACCTTGATGAGAAGGTTGTTCGTCCTCACAGGCGTGGACAGCAAACGCTTGGCAAAGGGGTCGTCTGGGCGCAGCGAGACAGAGATGAGTTTCTTGAGCTCGTCGTCACCCTCGGCGTTGGTCGTGGTTTCCAATCGTGATCGCAGGCCCTGGGCGAGTGTTAGTCTCTCCCAAAGCGGTAGGCACTGCTATTGCCTGCTGACCTTGCTTAGTTTGACAGGCCCACCTAATGAGGTAATGCCCTTGTCAACGTTTTTGATGATAGCGGGATGTTCGACAACGGAGACGGCACGTGACGGGATGGGCAGCCAGGGCGCATGCTCGTTTTCGGTCGGCATGGCGTTGTCCATGTTGGGTTACACGATGGAAAGGTGCAAGCTCAAAACGCTCTGGCGGTGAGATTCACGAGAGTTTGTAGCCGTCCAAGATTTTCTGTCTACTTCGGCCGGACTACCTGGGTACGCCCGTGGTAGGTGTTCGAGAGACAAGTGATGAGACCCTGAGCCAGTGCGAGGCCCGTCGCCGCTTCTCTATAGAGACAGGGATCGATCTCGCGATGACTCTCGTGCAAAGCGCCAGATCAGATGATACGAGGCTGCCGCGGGCCCAGCAGCGGAATAGTCTCCCGTCTCTCGCGCAGTCGCTCCCTTGACACGCCCGCCGTGCTACTTCACTCTCGCAGCTATCCTGGATGTCGTGACGGCTGCGGCGGGGCTTTTGGCCCAAACGCACGGCCTCGCTACGGGACGGCTAGCGCGAATCACTCGACGCTGTCTGTCTGGCAGCAGCCCTGAGTTGTCAGTTGACGACCTGCTCCAACTTGTCCCTCCAGCTCCAGAATACACGCCTCGCCCTCAGCCAGAGCGCCTATACGTCACCAGCAACTTGTTAGGGCCCCGGCTGCCGTCTGACCCCCCCTCGCGAAGCTGCTCCCTCCACCGACTCCCCGTGCACCATCCTAGACGGCTACACTAGCCACCATCTATTACCTCACGCGTCTCTCCTCCATGTCGGCCTGAGCCCTACGCTCTCCTGTGTCCGATTCACCGTGTGTGCGCCTGCCATCTAGTCCCCATTGGCGCTATCGGCTTGCGACCTGTCCCCCGACGCCTCGAGGCCAGCCGCCATCTCGGACGCCCGTTTCTGCAACACCGCTGCGCTTGACCTGGCCGTGGGCGCATTCCGACAGCCATGAAGGGCTTCAGGCAGAGGGTCGTAAGTGCTCGTCCTCCCCATGGACCCCGGCCACACCACGCACCCCCCTACCCCTCTCTATGCGCGGAGGCTAACATGTATAGTCCGAACAGCTCTCTCGAAGCAAGGATAGCAAGTCATCTAAGAAGAAGGACTCCACCTCGGGAACTGCATCGCCGTCGCTGGGTGCTTCCAACTCCCCCTCGGGCTCTGCCCAGGCTACGCCTTCCTCGTCGCAGACGCAGCTCACCGATGCGCGAAGCAAGAGCCAGCCCGCCGCCGATGGCGCTTCGGCCAACATTGGGTCGCTACAACAGAACCCCCAGCCCTCGTCCGGTTCCCTCGCGGGTGGACCCCAATCTTTCGGCGGACAGGGCATGATGAGCCCCGGTGCTGCTGGTAACGCTGGCGCTGCAGGTCCAGGCACGCCCTCTAGGTTGGGGCAGCCCCTGGCACCCAGCGTCGTCATCAGCCCAAGCGCGCCTGTAAGTACCCGCGCATCAACCGATATGTGTTTGGTAGGCTAACCAGTGCCATAGCATGTGCCTCCTCCTGGCGCTGCCGAGACGATGCCCGGTGATCTTGCGCCTCCAAAGGCGGGCCAGAAGTCGGGAATATTCGACCGTCTTCAAGCGACGCCCAAGGACAACATCGAGGGCATGCGAACCCCGAAGAGACAACACTCGTCGCGCTTCGACATCTCGGATCAACGTCAGCGTGAACTGGAAAAGCTCCCCGGATTCCACGAGGTGCCCCCGAACAAGAGAGAGGAACTCTTCATGCAAAAGATCGACCAATGCAACATCATCTTCGACTTCAACGATGCTAGCGGAGACATGAAGTCAAAGGAGATCAAGCGCCTGGCTCTGCACGAGCTGCTCGACTATGTCGCCAACAACCGCCAGGTCATCACCGAGAAGATGTATCCACGCGTCGTGGAGATGTTTGCGAAGAACCTGTTCCGTCCTATCCCGCCCCCGATGAACCCCCAAGGCGAAGCTTTCGACCCAGAGGAGGACGAGCCGGTGCTGGAAGTAGCATGGCCGCACATTCAGGTAGTCTACGAGTTCTTCCTTCGCTTCATCGAAAGCCAGGACTTCAACACGAACATTGCCAAAGCGTATATAGACCACAGCTTCGTGCTCAACGTACGTACCCGACCTGTCCTCTAGATTCATCTAACTAACACCAGCAGTTGCTCGAGCTATTCGACTCGGAAGACCCCCGAGAACGCGACTTCTTGAAGACTACGCTCCATCGCATATACGGCAAATTCCTCAACCTCCGCTCCTACATCCGCCGATCCATCAACAACGTCTTCTTCCAATTCATCTACGAGACAGAGCGCTTCAACGGTATCGCCGAGCTTCTCGAGATTCTCGGGTCCATCATCAACGGTTTCGCTTTGCCATTGAAGGAGGAGCACAAGCTATTCCTCACGAGGGTGCTCATCCCGCTCCACAAAGTCAAGAGTCTGAGCATGTACCATCCACAATTGGCGTACTGCATTGTCCAGTTCTTGGAAAAGGACGCGGCATTAACAGAAGAGGTAGGGACATACGCCAGATCCAATAGGCTAGGCTTACACGTTCAGGTTGTTTTGGGTCTTCTCCGATATTGGCCAAAGGTGAACAGTACCAAAGAAGTCATGTTCTTGAACGAAGTAGAAGACATCTTCGAGGTTATGGACCCCGCCGAGTTCGCAAAGGTTCAGGAGCCGTTGTTCAACCAGTTAGCCAAATCAGTGGCCAGTCCTCATTTCCAGGTCGCCGAGAGAGCGCTGTACTTCTGGAACAACGAGTACTTCTGCAATCTGGTTAGCGACAACGTTGAAGTTATTTTGCCAATCATGTTCGCACCACTGTACGAAAACTCAAAGGGACACTGGAACCGGTACGTATCTGCACTCTGGTGACATGGCTTGCTTGCTGACTATCTGCCCAGAACCATCCACGGCATGGTGTACAATGCTATGAAGCTCTTCATGGAAGTAAACCCGCAACTCTTCGACGACTGTTCGCATGACTACGCCGAGTCACAAAACAATGCAACGCAAAGACAGCAAAGTCGACAAGATCGCTGGGACAAGCTCGCCAAGCTCGCCGAATCACGTTCAAACGGCACTGCAGAGAAATCCGCCGTCGACCCGATGCGTATGGACGACTCGGAGTCACGTTTGGAGAACCTCCGTCTACAGGATGACGGAACAGCATCGAGAGAGAGGCGGCCAAAGGAATATGAGCGTCAAGGCAGCCAAACCTCGGTACGTTGATTCTTAAGTCCCTAGAACTCTGGATGAGCATTCTGTGTGGCCGAATCGATGTACTCTTAATTCTATCCCTAGACTCCTAGGTTTTCTTCCTTTTTTCCCAAGACTTGCATTTCGGTTCAGGTGGATCTGACGTGTTTGTGCTTTGCGTCTTTGTAGCGACGGCATCATACTTCGCAAGGGGAGCACCACGTTTCGTCCAGCGCTCGCCGCTCGGCTGGCCGACCACGTAGCAACAGTCGCCCGAATTCTTCTTCTGGCCATGTCGTCTCGTCGCGACCATCAGGTGGACGTGCAAGGTCGAATTCTGGAGGTACGATTACCCGGGTTGTTAGCTCTTGATTTCTTGGGTGCATCCATTCTCTTCTCTTTTTGCTGCCTTGCTTCACTGCCAGTCTTTTGAGGGCTGATTGTAGTCGCGATATCATGTGGTTTATCTGGCATCAAGCGTCGCAGTTTCTTTGGTTCTTCCCAAAACAACATGGAACGTTTCATTGGGGTGTTCCGGATGATGTTTCTTGTGAAGACGACGAAATAGGGACTTTCTTCACTGATAGACGCGGAATATAAAGAATTTCTAAAGAATCTTGATTGCTTCGCAGATCAATCGTGAGCTGTGCGCTGTTGAGAACTATCGTGAGCTCTCATAGAAAACTTCTTTCACGGATGAGTGGTATTGTTGTTTACTTCGTTCGCGTTGTGGTAGCCAGTGCTGAGAGAGTTGCAAGGGAATCCCATACTGTCGAAGCCATGCAGGCTAAAATTACCACGCGAATAGACACGGGGAGCCGCATAGGTTTCCTTGCCATCCGGTTGGGGATGTCGCTAACTTCAAGGGGCGCCTCGGCTTTCGGAACGCCAAGAGATCCGGCTCGATGCCACGTTCTGGGAGGCTTTGCTTCTACTTTGCGACAAAGGCCAAAGTGTGGTTCGCGCCGAGTGAATCGCAGAGACGGTGGACAATGTTTGCATTACAGGACTTTACGTCAGTTAGGCCTAAGTACACGCTATCCACGAGCCAGCGTGGTAATGCATACGTGTGTGAACATGGTAAAGGTAGTCAGCGGCGGTCAGCAGCGATACCAAAGTAAAAGGAGGGCAATACAGTAGCGTAGCCAATAGTAAACAAGTCAATGGCCTCGGTCTGCAATGTGTCGTAATTTGGACGTGCAACGGCGCGTTGGGCCCAGGTGCGGGAGAGGCGGAAGACCCCAGCAGTCATTTCCGACCTCCTTTCCGCGCGCAGCCAGAAAACATTGCTGGCCCTTCATAACCTTTTGCGCATCACCTCCATCTGGCTCGGTGTGAGATTTACTTCTTCACATTTTCTCGTCACTCCTTTGTGCTTTGCACTTGCTCGGTCGCGGTTGCCTTCTCTTCCTCCACGTTTGTCTTGTTTACCTAGTCGCTTTGCTAGGCTCAACCCTTTAAATCCCCACGTCCAGGGCTTCCACCGTTCCGAACACCACAACACCAACCTCGACAGTCCCAACTCATACTCGCACACAATGGGTGGCCCAGATTGGCTTGAAGTCGGCGCGCCAACGCTCGACCGTCCCTTTGGCCTGGCATTATGGCCTATTTTCGAGAAATGCTTCGAGCCCATCGCGGGCTACAAGCCCCAGGACTTCCGCTTCGTCCAAGGAGAGACACCGCTCTCGACATTCAAGGTCTGCGTTGTCACGCTGATTACCTACTACATCATAATCTTCGGCGGACGAGAGCTTATGCGCAACCGTGAGCCCTTCAAGCTCAACTTTCTCTTTAAGGTCCACAACTTCTACCTCACGGCGATCAGCGGCACCCTACTTCTCCTCTTCGCCGAGCAATTGATCCCCATTGTTGTCAGGAAGGGTCTTTTCTTCGCCATCTGCGACCACCAGGGTGGATGGACCGACAAGCTGGTCATTCTGTACTACGTAAGTACTTGCGCCGAGATGCTCAGGATGCTGCTAACATGTGCAGCTCAACTACCTCACTAAGTTCCTCGAGTTGATTGACACTTGCTTCCTGTTCTTGAAGAAGAAGCCATTGAGTAAGTGCAACAAGCCAACATCGACGTCGCATCGCTAATAAGCCCAGCTTTCCTCCACACCTACCACCACGGCGCGACCGCTCTCCTCTGCTACACCCAGCTCATTGGTCACACTCCCGTCTCATGGCCCGTCATCACTCTCAACCTGGCTGTACACGTTGTCATGTACTGGTACTACTTCCAGAGCGCGCGAGGAATCCGCATCTGGTGGAAGAAGTACATTACCGTCGGCCAGATCACCCAGTTCGTCCTCGACCTCGGTAAGTCCAATTCCACCCATATTCCATATCACACACTAACAACATGCAGGCTTCATCTACTTCGCCTCGTGGACCTACTTCACAAGCACCTACTGGCCACACATGCCCAACATGGGCAAGTGTGCTGGTGAGGAGTTTGCTGCCATCTCCGGCATCTGCATCATCACGTCGTACCTCTTCCTTTTCCTCGCCTTCTACTTCGCCACGTACAAGAAGCCGGTGCCCAAGGGCCGCCGCAGGGCTACAAGCGCATTAGTAGAGATGAAGGACGAGAAGGTGCCGACTGTTGGTGAAGCTCGCAGGCGTCTTTCGACCTCGCGTGCTGGTGTCACTAACGGTGTCGCTACAGGAGCTTCGCCCAACGGCACACCCAACGGACGCGCGACCCGCAGCCGCAAGGCCTAAGCTCGATCGTTCGGAGGACATGCGAAGTGCTGTGCGGCAGATAGAGCTCTTTGAAGCACTGGACGACGCACAACGGCCTCTCGCCGTCGAAGCACTCGAACTACTCTGCGATAGCATCTGATGTAGCATTCGATGCTCTTCCGGGCTAGCCAGATGTTACGGGCCATGCACCGGTTCGGAACAAACTTCGTCAAGTGGAGCCACCTTTCGGCCGGGCTCCTACCAATTCGTTCTTGACACGATATCAGCCTGGAGGGCTACAATTTCCATATCTTATTGTAATTGCTATGTTTGGGGCTCGATACTTTTGGTCCGGCCCCGTGTCACGATAAAAGCATGTAAGAGCATGGTTGGTCGGTTCGCGTTACGACAACTCTGGTGTTAGTCTTGGGCTTTGGCATGGGCGGTAGAGCACGTTGTAGACAATATTCAACGAAAGATAATGCATAATCGTCAATGACTGCTTCATGTTCCATGTGTGTACTTTACCTTTTGCGGACGCTCGTTGGAGGTACATGTAGCTAATGTAGGGAAGTCTACCGAGTTGCACGTGTAACGGGTGACTATACTCGTTTTGACATGACAGCCATCGCACACCACTCAGTAGAAGATAGCCCAGCCGTGTACGCTATGACCGGGCGGCTACAGCTGGATACATGAAAACATCAACGGCCCCGAAAGCATCTGCACAAGAGAAAAAGGATGTGGTGAAGTTACGTGCAATAGACGAAGAAGAGTAAGGTACATGGGATAATGTGTTGTTACGTTACTCAGGTAGCTTGGAGGTCGGCTGCAGCCCCACATATGTACCGGGCTCCTGTCGTCAGCTTTACTTGAGATCGTCGTGCCAACTCCAAACTCATAGCAGCGTGTTCGAATGTTCTGATGCAGCCTTGGTATGCCAGGACGACGAGGCTTGCTATAGGTCGTTACTCGATGGAATTTAATAACTGAGGTGTCTGCGTCGGTGTCACTTCGCTCGGGGTAAAGGCCGACAAGCATGGTGGCGTTGGCTTGGGTGGATTGCTCGTGACATGTGATAGGATTTTGACATGTGAGAGGCGATCGCCAATTTGCTGCCCGGCGTCGTTTCGCGCTGTCATCCCCCTCCAACCCTGCCTCCGGCTCCACGATGCGATAACCGACAATTCCACGCCTCTCGATCGATATTCACAGCTGCGCTACCATGCTGTGCGTCTTCTGAGATTCGCATCCCCTGAAACGACATCATCGCGTCCCCCAATTCGCACTCGGCCTCCGATTACGCTTCCGCGGCGCAGAATACCCCTTCGAGGCGCACCCTCCGCATCATCATTGGGCATTGCGACGGCTTTCACGGGCATAGCGCTGCACCGAACAACTGCTCGGAGAGTCGCAGTGACATCGCCCGGCGTGGTCTGCGCATAGATGAACGTGGGGTAGTCGGGTTGATTAGAAACGTCACGGTCCTGTGAGAATCCTACCATGGAGCAGGAACGACCACTACAGCGTGCCCCGCCGCCCGCATACACGCAACACGAGCCCGAATCGCTGCACCTCCCTTCCGTTCCGACGCATATCCCAAGCCATGTGCCGGATCATGGGAGGCTGCCTGGCATCAAGTCGCTAGACCTGCCGGACACGAAAGCGCGTCATACTCCACACAACTCGATAGAATACAGCCCGCGGTCGCAGTACGATAGATCGCAATGGGGCATGCTGCCAGTACCCAACAATGCGACGTTCACACGAGCGCCAGAGGGTCTACCGCGTGAAGACGTGGGAAGCCCGATGGATACCGCGAGTGTGCGCAGCATGCAGGATGACAACGTGGGTAGACGGGAAACGAGTGTCAGCATGGATGATCCGGATGTAAGGCTGGCAGCAGAGGCGTTGAGCGGATTGGGGAACCCGGGTATGTCACGACGCTGTTGCGGTTGCTGTTTATGACGCGAAATGCATGCTGACTGACCATCGCAGACTTCGTTCGCTCGCCGACGGCACGATCCCTCACGCTATCTGCTCGAGAATCCACAAGCGAACCTCCAGAGCCACTCCTCTCTTTGATCACGTCAAATCACCCATGGCTTGGAAATGGTATCAACGGCTCCATCTCAGCCTACAACACCACCAAAGGCTACACTCCACGTCTGGTCCAGTACGGTGCTGAGCTCATCGAGCGCAACATTGGATCGCCCATGGTCAACACTGTGTCATCTGTGGGTAGGCGGACGGGTATGGAGAAAAGCCTGCGCCGCTATCTTGGAGACAGACGACCCAGCGACCTTGAGCAGGGAGACGGCGAGAGTTCAAGGAGCAAGAGGCAAAGGATCGCGAGCCCAGCAGATGAC